ACCGCTTGACACAGTTCTTAGCCATATAGAACTACGTTAAGGAGAAGGTTATGTTTCATTTCTAAGAGTAGCATAAGAAAATAGAATGAGAATCTTAGGGTGGAGACAGGCTTCAGCTGTTTTCTCATTTGTTTTCTCATTTTAAAACATTTTTAAGGCGGCACAAATGCAGAGCAAATAGAAGTCCTTACCCTTTGTTGCACCACATGGCAAGAACATTGGTGGCACAATAAAAGGCAGTAATAGACTCTGAAGTTGTATTGCAGAAGATGTCTGTTACCTTGTGGCGCTTTCTCCATTGCCCCAGAACTGTGCCAAGGGTCTGGGGCAGGGAGAAAAGCACTTCCTTGGTCAGCCAGCTCCCTATCCCCACTGCCCCAGACCTACACCACGGGTTTGGGGCAGCAGGGAAACCCCGTGGGGCTGGCTGGGCAGAGGAAATCCCAGATTTCCATGGGGCTGGCTGAGCAGGGAAAACAGAGAAACCTAACCACAGCTTAGGTGTGGGGCACTGGGAAAACTAAGGGGATCATGTTGCCCCTTGTCTTGCACCATCATGGGTGGGACAAAGGACCATGTGCGTTTCACCCAGTGGAGTGAATCAGCTGTGCTGCAATGTGGGTGAATTGTTCCATTTGGTGACATCTGTTTCTAGCTTAGTTCTAACTTGAGCACAAAACCGTCGCAAGTTATGTGCCAGGGAAGTCTGGGAACCAAAGCTAGAGAGGTGTGAAACAGTAGTAAATGGAGAAACCAGCTGACTGAGCAACGTACTTGAGTTAACACATTTTTTTTCTGAAGTCAGACGTAGATTAAGACCCTGATCCTATATATGGTAACATGTTTATCTTGACTCACATGAGTAGTCCTGTTGTGGACCTGAGCGTATAAATTAGGTAGGCATAAATTATGCATCTAATTCGGCAGTGCTCCAGCTGTGTTCCTAGCAGCTAAGAAGTAGGGATGAAGAAAAGAAAATGCAGCATTTGAACTAAATTGGGGCTGTAATAGAATATTCATTGTGACATTCTGACATTGCTTTGTAATGGATATGGCTTATAATTCTTTTGTGATTGCATTGACTTCATTTACAATTGACACTGCATTGTGATGTGGCATTTCCATAACTCAGGACTTTGTCCTTGTATTATTTGGAGTCTTTAAGACTACTTTTGATGACAGCAGCTCTTCAAGCCGGAGTATTGGTTATTTAGCATAGGAAGAAAGGAAGGTCTTGTGGTTAAAGCAGTAGAGTTGGATTTATGAGACATAAGTTCCATGCTGGTCTGTGCCACACTTTTGGATGATGTTGAACAAATTGGGGTGAAATTCTGGCTACATTTTAAGTCATTTATTAAGCTTCCACTCTCCTTTTTTGTGCTAGAAATCTGCACTTCAAACCTCTGTCTCAGTTCTCCGTTTGTAAAGGGTGTATTAAAATGTTTTGTGTTGTGAGGAAAAACTTTAAGGTGTATGTATGAGTGAAATTGTCAACATTATTAGTGGGGACTACATAAGTATGTAGGCTCTGATAATCTAATTAAACTTGTATTGTCCTTGATACTATTACAGGAGTACTAGTTTGCAGAACAGCTACTGATATGATTTCAGTGACTTCTTGCATGCCAGTCTTTCTCTGTCTCTTTTTTTTTTTTTATATCATTCCCAGCCACCACCCTTTTCCTCTCCTCTGTTGGCATGTGAAAACCTGAGTGTGCTCCCTCCATTCAGTGCCAGGGAACATTCACTAATATCAATTGCAAGGTGTGGGAGCAGCACCAGTCTCCACAAATGCAGTGCCTCTACTGTCATAAGAACACTGTACTCTAAAACAGGGGTTTTCAACCTTTTTTAAAGGAGTGTACTCCTTCTGGGTACACTTCTGGCAGAGCTGGGGGGAGGGCAGGGAGTGGTGGCAGCTGGATGCGGACAGGAGGGTGGGACACGGACAGATGGGGCTTGCATGCTGCGGCAGCACAGGGTGGTAGATGGTGGCAGCTGCATGTGTGCTCTCCACTCACCCCTCCTCGTGTCCAGCTGGTTGGGTGGTGCTTGTGCAGCCCTCAGAGGGGAGCCACTGCCCTTGCCCCTCAAGCTCTGCTCCTGGGAGGTGGTGGTGCGGGGTGGTGGGCGGTGGTGCTCTGTCCCTGCCTGCTTGCGTGTACCCCCTAGCCCCTTTCCAAATACTCCCTGCTCTAAAGCATTTCTTTTAATAGCATAATGCCAAACTTCCCCTGTTAATTTGATAATACACAGTAACATTGCTGTCCCATCCTAAAATAAGACACAGGAACTGCATGGTTTGCATTCTGAAACATAAGATACTTTATTCTGCCCCTATTGAACTTCATGTTTACTGAACTAAAAAAAAATTGTGTAATTTTTTTAATGAACAATCCACATATGATCTTTGAGGCAAGACATGTATTACACGTAAATCTTGTTTTTGGTTCAAGAGTTGTGACTTTCTTCTGTTTGTCCTTAGTTTGGCATTAGGTGGATGCTGTCTAGTATTAAGTTCTGCTTGGGTGCATCTGCATGAGACGTTGGGTATGGAGTTGACTAATTAGCTCCATAGTAAATGTCTCAGTGTTTACATGTGCAGCCCTATTAAGCTTCACTAAACTAACTAACTCCACACCAGGGTAGTACTTGTAAATATGCAAAGTAAAAAATTCTACAGCAGGGCAGTACTTGTATTTACAAATACTACCCTGCTGCAGAGTTTTTTACTCTACAGCATAACATGTGTAGACAGTGATGTAGCTGGCAGGGGCACTAGAATGCTTCAGTGGGGGTGTTACCTGCCTATGGTAGTTGCCTGCCGGCTGACCCTTGTGGCCCAGCCAGCCCCTCTGCAGCATGTTGAGCCAGGCTGGAGCAGCCCTGGGCTGGCAGGCTGATTCCCCCCCAGGCCTCCTGCCAGCTGGGGCTGCTCCAACTGAGGTCAACATGCTACAATCCCGGGGGTGCTTATGTAAGTGTGGTGCCCAGGAGCAATTAACTCTGGCTGATATGTGCCAGAGTTTATTGCTTTGCATTATTATGCATGTGTAGACACCTCCCTTCAGGATCAACCATCATGA